GGGGCGCTGGGCTTGGGAGGGACTCCAGACGGGGAGACCGTGGACAGGGTCTTGGTCAGGCCGGGGGCGGAGTTAGGGCCCGAGGGGGCCGTGGGGACGACCTTTGTCACGATGGGCACGGAGGTGCCGGCAGAGGGAACCGATGTTGTGACGATCTTGGTGGTGACGCTACCGACGGGGCAGTTTGTGACGGAGGGCGGGCACTTAGTAATGGTATAGACGGTGGTGAAGGTGGTGGTCGAGACGCCAGGGGCAGTGCCAGGGCCAGCGTTAGACTTATCATTGGGCTTGTCGTTGGGCTTGTCGTTGGGCTTGTCGTTGGGCTTGTCGTTGGGCTTGTCGTTGGGCTTGTCGTTGCCCTTGACCGGCTCGGTGGGCTTGGGAGCAGGGACAGATGAGACGGGGCAGACCGTGGTGTACAGAGCTATGGTCTGCGTCGTGACCTTGCCGATGTGGGCTGGGCAGTTGGTGACGGTGGGCGGGCACGCGGTGATTGTAGACACCTTAGTGGTGTAGACTGTCGAGGTCGTGAGCTCGACGGGAGGAGTTTTCGTCGCAGCCGCCTGTGTCTGTTTGCTGGTGACGCCAGTCTTGGTGCTGGTGGCGTCGCTCTCGGTACAGACATCCTCGTCGGACTTGCTGTTGGACTGGATGGAGGTGGAACCGGATGCGCTGGCGGTAGCTGACTTGGTGCCAGTGGCACTTGTGGTAATTAGGCCAGTGAGAGTAATAGAGGCGGAGGCAGACTTGGAGCCGGAGACAGAGGCAGACCTAGACCCAGATCCAGACGCTGAACCAGAGGCAGTTCCGGAGGCAGAGGCAGTTCCGGAGGCAGAGGCAGTTCCGGAGGCAGAGGCAGTTCCGGAGGCAGATGCGGTGCCAGAGGCAGTGCCAGAAGCTGAGGCGGTCTTGGAGTCAGAGGCGCTGATAGACGTGTCCTTTGCCGTGACCGAGCCGCTAGCAGAAGCAGAGATGGAAGCGCTCGTTGAGGTTGAGGCGGAAGCAGAGGCGGACGCCGAAGCAGATGCCGATGTGGAGATGGTAGTCGACGTGACTGCAGACGATGTCGAAGCGGAAGACGTCGAGGCGGAAGACGTCGAGGTGGATGATGTGGAGGCAGATGATGTCGAAGCAGACGACGTTGTGGCAGATGTCGAGGTAGAGGTTGAGATGGAGGTCGAGGTAGAGGTAGAGGTAGACGAAGAGGACGCAGAAGTCGTTACTGCTTTGCTGCCCTCCTTGAACACACGAATGTCCTTGATCTTGAAATAGGTGTCCTTATAGGCGCTGGGATTCGCCGCGACATAGGACGAGCAGACAGAGTGACCAGTGGACGCGGCGCACTGGTCCTTCCAGATGTACTCATTGCCGGCGAGAACACCGCAGAAGTCAATGTTCAGAACGAGTCGCTGATCGGCAAAGTGGCTGTTGATGTTGCACTTATCATTGGCGATGAGCATGGAGGGAGTTCCCCAAGAGGAGGTATCAGGCGAGTCGGAGCCAATGTTCTTGGGAGCTGCGGAATGGGTCCAGGCTAGGTGCCATGTTAGCTACCTGTTGTATATACATTCGCATTGAAAAGTAGGGTTTGGAGGCTCCTTACCAAAGAACTTGATGTAGTCGTCTGTCCACTCAACAGCATCTATTTCGAAGGATTAGTTGAGACCATCCCAAGACTGATATGCTGGCTTCACTTACAGATACCACCATCGGACGAGCCCCAAGGGTCAGCAGAGGTGGCTGTAGTAGTACAACCCTCATTGGTGTATTGTCCAGGAGCCAGTTGATCACAGTTTGCTGTGTTAACCTTGGCTGTCTGCCCGATTTCACTGATGACACACTGGCCCTGTTCGGACGTGAGGTAGGTGTGGGCAGCAGGCTTGTTGGCAGCCTATCGTAGTTGTTTAGCAAAGCTTTTGGAGTGCAAACATGCAGGCTGTATCCATACCGCGTTGTTCCAGCCCTCAAAGAAGTCAAGCTCGCCTTTCTTGGGCCACGGAGAACCGTAGGACCAGCTTCAATGATGTTAGTATAGGGAGAAGTGGATGTTCACTCTTGGATGGAGAACTTACAAAGCAGGCCAGGCACCGCAGACAGGTTTAGGAAGATGAGAAAAGCGGGCGACCATGAGAGACTTGTTGTAAATTGCCTTGCTCTCGAGTCTCACACTTGAACGGCCAACACCGGGGAACTCGGTGATGTTGTGGGCATCAGGACCCACGTAGACCTCGCCGTCGGCATTGCTGATGAGGCCTAGCTTCTGGGCATCGACACGGGTGCGATAGTTGATGTAGCCCGAGGTGAGATCGACGTCATTATAATCTCCCGTGCCGTACTTGCTCTCGAAAAAGTCAAACTTGTCGAAGAAGTTCGTGGAGTCGTATGTGTCATCGAGGACGAACTGCTTGGCGACAGCGTCACCAGCCAAGGCCAGGGCAGCCGTGCCTAGGGTAAAGAGTGAAGGTGCCATTATGGCTGTATTATGATTAACCAAAGAGAGACTTTGTTAGGCTGTATAGAGAATAACGAATGGCTTGACGTGAGATACGTCGTTGGACGAGCAAGAGTGCTCTAGGAAATGCTGGACGGCACAGCTGTTGGCGGATGTGGTGCGTGAGGTGAACGGGACGAAGCCCATTCTAGGCGGACGAGGTGCCGCTTAAGATGTCCTGCCATCCCGTTGGATGCTCGAGCATCTGTCCCGCGCCGCTGGTACGCAGACCACTTACACGGCCAGAGGCACAGCGGCACCGCGGGCTAGACGTCCTTGAAGGGCTAAGCGAGGTTCTCATCTCGAAAATATCCTCCTCTAGGGCCCGCTGAACAGAGTCTAAGATGGCCTGTCTGGTCGTGCTGGACTATTCGCCATTGCTGTCTGTGTGTCTGTGTGGCCCAGAAGGGGAAGGAGGTTTGCAAAGGAAGTCATCTTCGTATGCACGACTCCCATGATGGCTGCCGAGGCCAAGCATCGTGAGGTCCGGGCACCAGCCGGAGAGTCGACCCTGACTACGCCAAATCAGGTGCGGGAAAGGGGCCCAGGAAATTACAGAAATGGGAAAGATTGACAGTGATTGGGGGATCCCACGATGGGTGCCACGGGGGCGTCGAGCGATGCGGCTATGGTGTTAGTCTCTCGACTTGTATCGGCCGATGGACTAACTCAAAGGGGATGTTGGTTGACGACTATTGTTACTGCGAGGAGCCAGGTGCGGCTGGACTTGGTGGCTTTTTGCGGCTAATTAGGTTATTCCCTCCCCTCGACTCAATGCAGCCGCTCTTTTGGTTTATACGTAATGTAGGCGGGAATAAGCTATAGGTATGCATACATACGATCCTGAGAGAAAATAAGGGTTCCTCAAATTTGTAAAGTACCGTGCATTATGCTCACAAGAGTAGACTGCGGCGCGGTATGAATCCCTAATTACCCACTGGATCCTGAGTCGTTTGCTCAATCTTACATGGTTTTCGCATGTCATGAATCCTTTAGTTAGCAATCGCGGCCCATCGCGTCAAAGTCCGTGTGACGAGCGGCAGGATTCTGTTTCCCACGCTAGAGACTTCAGGCGAAGATGGAAATGCCATTCTCAACTGCGATGCTATTCTCGGATGTAGCTGAAGACGACAAGCATCGGTGCGCGAGTATGGCGATGCTTGGCAGGGTCTCAGCGCTCAGGAGTGGGTATGTGGAAGTCATAAACACCACGGAAAAAGGGCTCAGAGTGACCCCATGATGAATTTCGTGGGTGTTGCGGGGCTTCTCTTCCTACTTTGGCCTATGCCGAATCGGATACAGACGCCGAGGCAGTAAGCATCATTCAAGCCCTTGTTGGTGAGGTGAACCCGGCGACGATAGCCGTAAACCCGCATCGTGCCAGGATCTTTTCATGAATTAGACGTCGACGTGCGGCACAGAGTAAGCAGATACGCATGAAATGGATCTTTTGTAAGTCACCGCAGAGCAGTTGTGAGAGAGCGGTGGACGATGTACATATTGAACCGTGGAACTTTGGTGACCCCCGAAGAAATGAAATTTCTCGTTCAGTTCACCCGCTCGTCGCGATTCATGAGAACCAGCCATGTGGTAGCCCAGCACTGGGGCATCAAGTACTCTTCCACTAGAACCAGTTGAGAAGTATGATACCCCGGCTCTGGCGCTAAAACATCGTGGCGGAACTGGAACCCAGACGAGGTGGGAAAAAGTAGAGGGGCATAGGGGCAGCAAGTAAAATACAATCAACACCTGAATGGGAGTACTGTCGAAAAGAACATTGACGCCACGCGCTGCACAGAGGAGCGTTTGATTAAGCAATAGGCATCCACTGGTCCAGAACCTGAACCTGCCGCGTTGTTCAATCCAGGATTGCGGGAATTGCGTTGGGAAAGAAGGCCATGACTGGGAGACATCGACTTGCCGCACACGTGGCTTTGTATTTTTTCTACCGAGGACGCTGAGAGGCGTGGCGGTAGCAAATATCAGACCAATCCGTGGTCATCTGTGCCGCGGCGGTTCTATTTTGCGACTCGACTCGGCACTGGTTTCCTCATTCCACCCACTCGACCTCCCTCACTCCTGGGCAAAAGGGCGTGAAGGTGTACGGCAAGTCTCTTCGGCGGAAGCCGTCCTGTTTCCGCAAACGTGATTCTATGACTCGAACAACAGGCCTCTTGCTGCCGTAGGAGCCTGCCTCTTTGATCTCTAAATCTGGTGGTCTAGCATTGCGTAAGCCTTTGTTTTTTCCAAGCGTTATCGTTAATCGCGAAAGAAGAAAGCCCCGATCGAAATATCAGACAAAGTTGAGAAGATATATATAACGCGGTGTTTGTCGGCACTGCACCACTGGCTCTGGGACAAGCCCTTCGCCTACAGGTGCTCCGCTGGCCCCGCGTGCGTCATCATGTAGAGGGGAGTACACTGAGAAAGAGGAGAGACCACTTACGCTGAAGTTGATGTTTTTTACATGGGTATCTTGTTTAATGTGTTGGAAACGTCCTCTGTAGATTCATGTTTCCGGCCTGAACTTGCCACGCTTCTCCTTCATGGCATCGACCTTTTTCTTGTCCTCGTCGAATCTCTTCAGCATAGCGGCTTGTTCCGCCTTGCGACGCTCGCGCAGTTGGAAGCGGTAGAAGTCCGTAGTCTCGTCCTTCTTCTTCGAGGCCCTGTCGATCATCTTCTGTCGGGCTTCTTCGGCCTCGTTCTTGTTGGCCGGAGCAACACGGCCACCGCGGACAACTGTGACGAAGCCGTCCTCGTCTGGCTCATTGCGCAACCTCTTGGCCATCTCCGCCGCTTCCTTCTCCTTGCGGTTGAAAACGTTGAAGAAGGCGTGAACCGACTTCTGCGTTGCCGCCTTGTCACAGCGCGACAGCTGAATGTGTGCAGATACCCATTCGGATCCAAGCTCGGGCTCATCCTCGGAAACACCCTGTCCCCAGACGGGAAATTTTGTCGTCTTGTTCGCCTTCCTGATAGCCTTGAGCACGAGCTCGACGCTCTTTTCATCTGCGAAGAGAGCAATGGCGCTGCTACCGCTTTTTCGCAATCTTCTCGTCCAAGTCTCGGGCAGTCGTGCGATTTCTTCCTCCCGGGCTCTCTCTTCTGCTTCCTGTTCGCCGCGCTTGCGCTTCTTGCCTAGACCCATAATCTTCGCAGCGTTGACTGGGTCGACAGCTGCGGCATTCTTCCGATCATCCTCGAATGCAATGCTTTCGAAGCGACCTGGACCAACGAGAGCGGAGAAAACTTGGCGAAAATGAGCTTCGGTGCTGTCGACGGGGACGTTCTTGAGAAAGAGACTTCGATCATCGATCTCGGTCGGGATCCTGGGCGCATTTCGTCGAACGCGGATCTCGTGAAGAGCGGTGATGGGGCACGAGGGAAGTGCTGGGAGCTTCACTGGCAATAGAAGGAAGCCATCCCCTTGGGACTCGGCGGTTGACATATTGGCGGGTGATCGGCTCAACGCGAAGAAATGTTGTCGTCCTATGGAAGTAAGAGTGAGCAGCTAGAATTCTTGTCGGATCGAAGCCAGCCTGAGAAAAAAGTCAAGGTGGGTCTTTGATTATTATCAGAAGCTGCTATCATTGGCCTCACCCAACCGCATGGCCCGTGCTTTACACCCCACCACTCTTATCAACGGTAAGGGCGATCGACACCGAGCTCGGTGAGGTGGGCGATCTCTCTCCGTCTTACTTAGTTTAGGTACTAAGGTTGTTTCTGTTGCACTCTCGGAGTAATTGAGGTACGGTGGCACACAACGCTCTGGCTTTAACATTGTCTATTTTGAATCAAATATGATGTGAAACCAAAGTGAAGTTGGATATACTGTAGCAATCTAGCAGAGAGCGTGTTAAGACTGGTGGTCAATCAAATCTCGATTGCTATTCTTCCAATACCACGACTCACGCAACTCAGCATTGACTCAAGTTTGTCGTCGCCAGATAGAGCCGTGCCTCTGTGATCGACTCGACCGCTCTTAAGCGCAACTTTGCAAGTTCCACAGTTACCGACTTCGCAGCTACTCTCCACATCGCCCCCGATCTCCCGCTTAAGTACTTCCAGCAGCGTCTCCTCCTCGCCCACCTTCATGATCTTGCCGCCTCGATTCAGAACCTCTGCCTCGAATGGGTCTCCCGATGTATCGGCAGAGAAGGCTTCGTAATGTACGTCGCCCTCATCGAGACCACAATCCTCTGCGGCTACCCTTACAGCATCGGTCATTCGCGTAGGTCCGCAAACGTAGACGTGGCTGTTCCACTTGAGCGTTTTGATGATCTCGGTGATATCCATCCTCTCGCCTTTACTACGGTCGTAAAATCGAACACTACTCCCAAGAGCATCCAAGTGAGAACGAAACGGTATATCGTCGTCCGAGCGAACGGCGTAGTGCATCTCGAAATTGTAGTGGACTTCGTGGTAGGCCTCGGCAAGGACCAAAAAGGCGGTGATACCGATACCTCCCACAATGAAGACGTGATTGCTTGAGGCACTGGCAACTTGTACATCGGTTGTCATTCGCCCAACCTGAAGGATGTCGCCTACAGACATAGAGTTGTGGATGTAGAGGGATCCTCCACGGCCCTTCTCCTCGAGAGCAATGCCGAGCTCGAACTTGTTGCGGTCCCCAGAGATGACGGAGTAAGACCGAAGGAGGCCATTCGGAAGCTTGAGCTTTGCGTGAGCCCCTTCGTTGAGATATTCTGGGTTCTCGATCGGGTTGATGGCTTCGAGGACAAAAGATGAGATTCTCGAGGTTTGTCTTGTTTTTTCGATAATCTTGAAGTCTCTCCACTGGTCCCCCTTTTCCCTCTTGACTTGAGCTTTAGCCTTGGCCACTCGTCGCTGGAATGCGCCACGACTTTCCTTGCCCATGTCTTCAATTGATGCAAGTTCCTCATTCATAGCCGCGTCAGTCTGGTTCCGGTGCAGGTACTCCTGAACCCTCTCAATGGTCCACTTGGGCCACTTGCGCTCGACGAGCCTAATTTCGTCGCCAGCCTTGACTGTTCCCTCTTTCAGAACACGATAATACCAGCCAGTCCTACTAGACTTGAACGTCGTAGGCGCAAAGTTCTTCAACTGGAAACGATGATTGAGCTTGTAACATGGTTGTCGTGGCAAACTGACTTGGAGCATGACTTCGTCACCAACGGCGATAACATCGCCAATGCAAACGTTGCGCTCATTCATGTGTCTAGTGACAAAATTTTCGCCAAAAGCTCCCGGTCTGAATCTGTCCGCTGCAACTGGATGCTCTGCCTTCCAACCAGAATAGTGAGAGGAGCAATCTGGACTAAACTTTCAGAACTGCGTCATGATGGCAGAACGCCTGAAGCAGCATCACAATGTACTCACAACCGTGTATCGCTTTATCCGGTCCACCATGGAAAGTTGGATCATGCTCATCCGCATCGAGTCCGAGATATGATACGTGAATGGGGCCATGCCTCAAATCCTTGTCGATTCCGGACGTGACCTCTAGTCCGGGCATCTTCTTCATCACGCTGGTGCGAACCTCCAACAGAGTGTCGCTGGTAAAAGGTGACCACAGGTCAATTTCTTCAGTGAGACTCATGGCCGTTGAGTTTCGAAAAAAATAACTGCAGAATTGTGTGTCTTGAAAAGGGTTAAAACATGAAAGAGGAAAGTCGCAAACCAGGATTGAAGATCCTACGTAGCTAATTCGCATTCGGCAGCATGCTGCTTTTATGCTAACAGCAACCGTGCGGATGGCCATTCCGCACAGTAATGAGCTGTGCCCTTGATGCACAGCATCGAACAGTGTAGAGGAGCACTGGAATGAGTTTTGGATCTTTTGCAATAGAGAGGCTTCCTCATAGCTGCGCCACAACGAACAGTGAACCTGAGAAGCAAACATGAGATAGTTTGCGTCCGAAATATGTGTGAGATAGACTTATCGATCACACGCTACGATGAGAATAATTTGAGAATTATTGGCCAAAAGGTAGAGTTATGTTCGACTTTCCGAGGCAACTATGCTATTGATATGTTTGGAGATGACATAATGAATGATGCTTACCATATCTTGCATGAAGAGCGCCACATATTGTCAATACCGTGAAATATCTGAAAAGCCAGGCAATAGCACCGAAGTACCAAAGTCGTAAGCACTAAGGTGGTGAGGTGCTGGGGTTCGCCGGACAAATCCCCGGCGTGGAAGACCCACAGCTCCGGCACCAGGGAACGCAGGGGGGGGCAAGGTAGTACACAAAATGCTGAAGACATTGGCTGCGGCCCCGTCGATTTCGACCTCATCGAAATGTAAGGCTGTCAGCTGTAAACTCAAAGAAGCACCGGTCGTGGGTCTGCTAGAAAGCTAGGTCCGGCGGATGAAAGGCTGTCAGCGGCGTCGGCGGAGCAAAACAACCTGGTTGGGAATGGCTTCACTTGGCGAAGCCGTCTGCTGGTGATATAAGTGAGACGATGGGAAAGATGTACGCAATGTCACATCTGTAGCCGGACATTCCTCGTTCTACATTTCGAAAAGCATATCGTGTGACACTTCCCCTATTTAATGCACTCTCTCGACTTTTCTTACTGGCAACCAAGATGGCTTCGAAGGGAGGAAGACTCGATTCGCGGCGACTACCCTTGGTCTTCCCAGGTTTAAACATCTGAATGATTTGAAGACGGCCTAAGGGCCTCAAAGTCGATGCGAAGGTGTCATGTGAGGCTGCGGTATATCTTAGACAGGTACTTGATTTCTTCAGCTATCCAGCTATCGCTTCGCTCTTCAAGCCTTGACTCAAGGTATAGAGAGATCGGCGTGGTAGAGCCCAAGCCAGCACCAAGATTTTGGGCATCAGCAGAAACCGGTTCTCACGCTGCACACGGCTTGTTAGTTCTGTCGGATTTTGCACTTATGTGCGTAAACAGCATCAGCGAGAAGGCACGATCTACCCGCTAGTGAAACGTGGTCGGTTCATGAGAAGTCGAGAGTACCACCCTTTAATGCGAGACCTGGCTAGAACGGCCCCGAATGCATCACTTGACGACACCATTTGGTAGGACGATGCCTGGCGAATAAGACATTGCCACATTCACTGTCTAAGCCGGTGGAAGTCGGACAAGTGGTCTCACTATTGATGGGTCAGACAGGCCGGTATCTTTGAGGCTCGGGGGCCGTGTGAGGGATATGGTGATGGAAATCGACGCATCTGACGCGATGGCGCAAGTTGTGGATCACTGACGATGCAAAGCGGGTGTCCACAGCACATGAGTCGTCTTGAGCCAGCCTCGTAACTGTCAGGCATGACCAGCTGAGCCTCTAGACTGACAAAAGACTAGTAGTCCCAACGGCACAAGACGACGAACGGGCGTAAAATGTAATTCGGAAGAATTCCTAGCCTTCCCAAGTGGCTTTTTGGTCGGGCAACGATACGAGCAGAACGGTGACCAAGGCATGCAGATGATGGAGTCGCTGATACTTAATTCGTTCCACTGGAACAGATTTATATGATTATAAAAAGACCTCACGTGAGCAGCGTGTCATATGAGCAGTGACGGACTTCGGCGGACTTCCCTTACGCATAGAGGAGGTAGGCACGGAGAGTGTTCATTGCAAAAGACGAGGGAACATTAACCTGCGCGGTCTTCAAAAAAGTCGTAGAGCAGAGCCGCATCGGTTCTAGGATCTAGATTACCGTTACAAAGAGCTCATCTGAGTTAAGGCAGTGCAACCACAAATAGATGATGAGGGAGTTGGTGAGGAAAGTGTTGGCGAAAGCGAATGTCAGTCTCAAGAAAAGAGGAGAATGGAGGCTCTTTTGAAGCCCTATGATTGGGCAGAATCCTCTTAAGACCCGTCGCTGCGATCAGGGATGTAGGTGCTAGTAGAGAATGCTAGTCTCGACCGGGGCACTTGATGAATCTCCACCCCTGTACGGTCCAACCTGGAATCTTTTGGGGACAGCCTGATTTCGAGTATTTTTTGAGCCGCATGCTCATCAAAGAACGTGCTCGGTAAGGCTCTGATACAGAGACATCGACACATTCTCGAGTCTGCAGTTTGCCGAACTAGGGATGAAATGACCGGCAGGGCTCGCCAATACAAGGGGGCCATGGAGCCTGTACGACATCTCGGGCGCCCCCCCCCCCCCCTCCATCTCGGCCCTTTGCCTGATAATCCCACATTACCATGCTCTCTTCTTGCACAAATCCACATGAAAAGACATGAGAAGACTCCACGACCTTAGGTTCCCGTAATATACTTCGAGACACCCAACGGACATGCCCTTCTGCTGCGTCGCCGTATACGTACCAAGATAGACTGCACGCCAGTCCGACGGCGTCAGGCTAGCCTGGCTTCAAAGAGATTATATTACAAACACAGGTATATTTGTCTTGGATCTAGAGGGGGAAGCGGCAATGTATGTTCTTGGCCGATTCGTGGGTCTAAGAGGGGGGAGGGGTGTGTGTACGTGTATAGAACCCGCGTCCTAGTGCGGCTCTGCTGGTTGAGCCCCTCGGGTACTCACCTTAAAACAAGCAACAGTCGCTTTTCCCGAGGAATATTTCGACCTGCATGACAAGTGGTCGCCTCATAGTCAGTTGCCTCAGTCTTGAGTGGCACCAAATCACCTCCACCGGCTGTCTCGCACATGACCGCCCCTCCCTCAAGTTACCTTACGTTACCTAATTTACAACCCCCCGGTTGCCTGATGAAAGTTTGGCATTCGATCTTTCGCTCTTTTACGACAAGTTATTGGCCGAATGCTGGAAAGGCGGGTTTATGGCAGCCGTCGACTTTGCAAGAATGCAAAGGCTGCCTATCGAGATTATGACTTATATCGCAAATTCTTTGAATTTACACGACATATTCAACTTAAGTCTCGCTTGTAGACAGTTCAGGTACCTCGTGAGCAATGACGATATTTGCCGGGCTGCATTGGAGGTGAGCATCGTCTTGGAGCAACGATTATAATCATTCTTGAGCCGCGCTGACTTGGTGGCTTAGACTCATGCGCCGTACTCAGCTGATTTCCTAGCTGCCCGCTCCTCGAAGCAATATGCTCGCTGCTTGCGGCGACTGGTCAAGCTTCAGGACGCTATCGCCACTGCCAAGCCATACACCACAGCTCTGGTCGCTCATGCAGTTGACTTCATCTACTGCAATGGCACGCTTTGCTATACGGAAAGTTACGAGGTGCTGCGTCTCCTCAACTTGCATGCCTCGTCGGACTCAGAGGACATCATCGATACCCGAATGCTGCTACAATCTGTCCCGGGGGCGAATTTCGCCAATAATAAGTACAAGTTCCGTCCAATATACTTCGCCCATGGAATATTATCTTGTCTTTACAGCCCACCCAAGAACGAAGGTCGAAGTCGCTTGGTTGTCATCAACGTGGAGAAGAGAACGCTTCTCACAACCCAACGTCTCGAGTCAACCTCTAAGCTATTTGTGCGTAACAATCAGGACTACCTCTACTACGGCACTCACTCGGTTACTGGGGATGATGGCTTCAAACGATGGGTCCTACGACGATTTGATCTACAGACCAAGCAATGGATACCTGGTCACTTGGATCTCGAAGACCTAGCTGGTTCAGATATCGGAGCCACCGTTTGTTTTGAAATCATCGATGGCTATTTCTATGGCTTGTCCAGCCTGAACAGTTTCGAAGTATACGAAACAGACTCACTATCATATTATTACGGTTTTCGGTTGCCTGTCGGCAGTACCCAGCCTGGAGACATGCAGCTGGCGTCGAAAGAATCTATGCTGAGACGAGATCACAAAGACGGGCCGATAGATGATCGATGGAGTACTTTGCAGCTCGCGAAAGACTTGGTCACGGGAAATATTATGGTGTCAGAATGCCGAAGAGAATGGCTTGTCAACGAATCTTCCAGCGCGAGAACAGCCTACAGAAAGGAACTCGTTTTTGCGACTCCTCCCGTTGACCCTGGTGACAGAGATACCGAAGCTGACACACACCAAAACGCATATATATCAACCCCGCGCTGCTCATCTACTAAGCTAGTCTCATTGGAGAAGAAAGAGGACACAACCTACGCTCACAGGGGCGATGACGGCTCAACATTGCCGACTATAACCCTGAGCCACTGTTTTATACGTTCTTATAATCAGGCTTGCGGATCATTCGTTGACCTGGTGAATGATCCAGTCGCTACCGAAGCGATGACGCAAAGACCGCAAATACGTTCAATTTCTCGTTTCTCCCAAAGCGGAACCGGCCGGGTTCCGAAAGAGTCACCAGCTGACAGTTCTGCTCAGGTCTCCCACCAGACCCATGGGCCTAACGAGATCTCATCTTGGCCACCAGAGGTTGACGTGAGCCAACGGAATGTGCACCTTGACGCACTGGATAACATACTCTGTCCCAAAGGCCAGAGTACATTCGGTAACATCTCGGGGGTAATGGACGAGCGCTCATTGGTATACGCTATTGGGCAAAGAGGGCCTCAGACCAGACGTCCTTTGGTCTTCATTTGTTTTGACCCTTCCATTAAGCTTACCGGACTCGCTCGGTGGCCTGGCGGCCCAACAAGATCACCTTGCACCCGTAAACCGACAGAAGGCGACGATGT